GCACACATTTTCAAGGCTCTTGGCAGGTAGGTTGTTCCAAGCACCGCAGAGAATTTGCCATAGTTCTATTGTGGATTTAGGCTGACCTCTGTCTCTTCTCAGACTGAGACTCTGAGATCATGATTTCACATCATCTCTTGTTCTTCTTGTTGCTAATGATACTGTAGTTCTTGATGACTCTGGATGTTCGGGGCTGTTGTCATGCTACAAAATGAATTTGGTACTGATCAGATGAGGCGTTTGATAGATAAATAAACCTGTCCACAGCACTGCACTTGACAGTAGACATTATAAATCTGACTGCATCCTTATTGGATTTCTCTGGGCTAGATACAAATCAGGCTCTGCCATCCTCCAGTCCAGAAGGTGGTCGTAATCCAGCTGTTACCGTACAGCTACTGTGACCATGAACGAACATGAGCAACATAAAGTTTTGCTAGTGCTCAAAGGTGCTCCATAACCCATATCACTGCTTTTACAATCACACAAATCAGATAAATGGTAGAACAGCATGTATGTGTATGTATGAATCACTGGAGCTGCTTTCTTCCTGTCACTTTAATCAGACAGGGGGAAGATGATTACTTTCATTGTCAGTTCAGCTGTAATCATCACAGAGAGCAGAAAAAAGAAACAGTAGCTGGCTACTTCCTTACTGATGTTGTTATACCTGGGAGGGAAATGATTACGGATGTGTCTTAGAGAGATGGATGCTTTTATGCCTGTTCAACATCTGGCTAAAATGCAGTTTGGATTTCAGTCTGTCACTAATGCTTCTTGGTTGCATCTGCTTTTGGGTTTTATCCAATCCTTCAAGATGAAAGTGTAAATGTGCTGTTAATGAATGCAAACAACATTAACCTGTCAATAAAAACATTTTCTTGGACTGATGGATTTTTGACATCAGCACATCCCAACACATACAGAGAAACAATTAGTTCTAAGCAGAATACAGTGCCTTGCGAAAGTATTCGGCCCCCTTGAACTTTGCGACCTTTTGCCACATTTCAGGCTTCAAACATAAAGATATAAAACTGTAATTTTTTGTGAAGAATCAACAACAAGTGGGACACAATCATGAAGTGGAACGAAATTTATTGGATATGTCAAACTTTTTTAACAAATAAAAAACTGAAAAATTGGGCATGCAAAATTATTCAGCCCCCTTAAGTTAATACTTTGTAGCGCCACCTTTTGCTGCGATTACAGCTGTAAGTCACTTGGGGTATGTCTCTATCAGTTTTGCACATCGAGAGACGGAAATTTTTGCCCATTCCTCCTTGCAAAACAGCTCGAGCTCAGTGAGGTTGGATAGAGAGCGTTTGTGAACAGCAGTTTTCAGTTCTTTCCACAGATTCTCAATTGGATTCAGGTCTGGACTTTGACTTGGCCATTCTAACACCTGGATATGTTTATTTGTGAACCATTCCATTGTAGATTTTGCTTTATGTTTTGGATCATTGTCTTGTTGGAAGACAAATCTCCGTCCCAGTCTCAGGTCTTTTGCAGACTCCATCAGGTTTCCTTCCAGAATGGTCCTGTATTTGGCTCCATCCATCTTCCCATCAATTTGAACCATCTTCCCTGTCCCTGCTGAAGAAAAGCAGGCCCAAACCATGATGCTACCACCACCATGTTTGACAGTGGGGATGGTGTGTTCAGGGTGATGAGCTGTGTTGCTTTTACGCCAAACATAACGTTTTGCATTGTTGCCAAAAAGTTCGATTTTGGTTTCATCTGACCAGAGCACCTTCTTCCACATGTTTGGTGTGTCTCCCAGGTGGCTTGTGGCAAACTTTAAACAACACTTTTTATGGATATCTTTAAGAAATGGCTTTCTTCTTGCCACTCTTCCATAAAGGCCAGATTTGTGCAGTATACGACTGATTGTTGTCCTATGGACAGAGTCTCCCACCTCAGCTGTAGATCTCTGCAGTTCATCCAGAGTGATCATGGGCCTCTTGGCTGCATCTCTGATCAGTCTTCTCCTTGTATGAGCTGAAAGTTTAGAGGGACGGCCAGGTCTTGGTAGATTTGCAGTGGTCTGATACTCCTTCCATTTCAATATTATCGCTTGCACAGTGCTCCTTGGGATGTTTAAAGCTTGGAAAATCTTTTTGTATCCAAATCCAGCTTTAAACTTCTCCACAACAGTATCTCAGACCTGCCTGGTGTGTTCCTTGTTCTTCATGATGCTCTCTGCGCTTTAAACGGACCTCTGAGACTATCACAGTGCAGGTGCATTTATACGGAGACTTGATTACACACAGGTGGATTCTATTTATCATCATTAGTCATTTAGGTCAACATTGGATCATTCAGAGATCCTCACTGAACTTCTGGAGAGAGTTTGCTGCACTGAAAGTAAAGGGGCTGAATAATTTTGCACGCCCAATTATTCAGTTTTTTATTTGTTAAAAAAGTTTGAAATATCCAATAAATTTCATTCCACTTCATGATTGTGTCCCACTTGTTGTTGATTCTTCACAAAAAATTACAGTTTTATATCTTTATGTTTGAAGCCTGAAATGTGGCAAAAGGTCGCAAAGTTCAAGGGGGCCGAATACTTTCGCAAGGCACTGTATATTTATATATTTACTGATATACTGTAGGAGTTTATGTTTATAGTGGCTTTCTATCACATGAGGATCATCTCTGCTGCTGGTCACAGATTCATTTCTTGGAAGTAAATGTTTGATGTGCACTTCAGGCAGAGACCTCTGCAGCTAAAGAGTGGGGCTTGAGAGCCACTTGATCTTATTTTCAGTCACAGAGTGTGACTTTGTAGCTTGCAGCAATAATAATGTCAGGGCAACAGGTTACATCCCACATGCGTTTACCACCACCATGAATGGTAGCACTCACAGTTACAAGATGTATTTCAGATAATAGTCCTTACTGAAGCATATTCAAATAATGATTTGTTTTTTGGAGCTCCAATTTAGCGTTTTATAATGTGTTTACACTTACAGACTAGTTTTACCTCTGAAAGAGAAGGGCTACTTTTTAAACCAGTTTCTTCACCTACATCTTTGCATCTTGAGATTAGAAATCTGACTCCTAAACTGTAGAAACAATATCGCTCAATATACCTCTATTGTTGTGTAGCCAGATAGTTTTAAATGGCCATTTTAAAGCAGAGTATCTGCATAGCTTCTTATAGCCTATGAGAAAAAACAGAATGTATTTTGTTATTTGAACTGATCCTTTAATATCCCTAGAAACTGTAACCTTAAATTGGAGAAAACAAACCTTTGCTTTTCTATTTACTTTAAAAGATTTACTGTAGCTATTTCATGGCTTGGTAAAAAAAAAAAAAAAAAAAAAAAAAAAAAAAAAAAAACAGGTGACACTGAGTGACACGAGCCATTCATAGCATTTCATAAAACATATCATTACAAATTCATTCCAAACCAGAAGACAAGTTGTAGAAAACTGCCCGTTTTTAAAATCACACCACACAAAGCTGTGACTAAGACTGATCTCTTGCTATAAAATAAGCTGTTTCGCTACTTCCATCCAGGGGCATTGAAATCACTGTAGTTGTGCCTCATTGCTCTGACAGCGTGGCACAGCTGACAAACATCTTCCCTTATGTGTCACTATCTGACAGGGAGAAGAAAAACTATCAGGAGGACAAATTTGACATCATGTTGAGCTGTTAGAAACCCACTGACCAGTACACCTAAATGCCAAAACTGGAAAAAAAATTTGGGTAGAAATACAGATAAATACAGGGATCAATATAATACAAAGAGTATGGAAATAGATATGTAGATAAAATAAATACATGGTGTGAAATCACTGACTCTGCTAAAGGCCTGTAAGGCAGGAGGAAACTGTCTCAATTTAAAATGAAAATTTATAAATTGAATGCATCTTTCACCTTTAAAATTGTATGTAAAGGTGCTACAGAAAAGAAAAATACTGACTTTAATGTCAGGTAAGACAAAAATTATTGCCACTCACTTGCGTCCCACAGTGCTCCCATTCCTATGTATGCAGGTCACCTCCCGTGTCTGGTAGCCCACCTGGATGTCCCAGAACCGACTTTCCTGCCGGTTAAGGCGATTCCGGGTTCGCTTCTTCTGGATAAGTTCCCTGGTCTCTGGATCTTTGACGCCTACTCTCTCCCTGAGCCCCTGGCCTTTGCCTTTCCTACGCTTGGCTTGGCGTGCTGTTCGAGTCAGGGGGAGGGTGCAAGGGCTCCACGGTCCAACCCTGAGACTGTACATGCCCTCTGGACCTGTGCAAGGCCCTGGTTTACAAGACTGAAACTCGGTAAGGTTGGGGCAGACAGTGCCTCCAAAAAGTGGAGGAACCAGGACACTGCGGACCCTGTTCCTGAGGCCTGTTCCACACGTTTTGGAGCAGGAGGTCCATGGTGAATACTCGGAAACCACACAATCCTGTGGGCAAGGGATCAAACATGCCTGCTCCAGGCGAGGCTTGGGCTCAAAGTACTCACAGATGGCATCATCTGCTGGAGACCCATCTGACCTTAGTATGCAGCCCACCTCTCGGGTCTGAATGCCCTCTTCGCCCCCACTGCATGCAAATGGCCATGGGGAGCCAAAGGTCCTTGCCGACACTGGCACACACTTATTCCAGGCACCAAGTTTCCAATCATAAAGGTCTTTGTGCCAGTCACACACACGAAAACAGTTTCTCTGGTTGGACGGACGCTGGCCCTGGTCACAGTTGGTGTGAAGCGTTGTCCAGCCGTCCACATGGGCACACCAGACTGCCCGGCTTTGGCTGCCACCTGGGCCACAGTCGCTGCCCATGCACCGTCCCCATGGACCTGGGAAACAAATAAACAACCTCAAATTATAATGGAGATCAGTGATGCCATTTTAACACTCTTGTATGCCTTTAAAACCCACATATACTGGCATCGGTTATTCAAACACTTGAAACTGTCTGATGCTAAAGAAAAACTGAAAGAGATTAGTTTAACAGGAAAAACACAGACTGCATCTTCAAGGATGACACAGTAAATTCTCAGACTCCTCTAATATGGTCCTTAATGTAAAATGTGTTGAAAATCTGTTGGCAACCCACAACCGATGATGTGTGAGTGTGAAAAATATGTCACATTCGATAAAAATAATCACCTTGTCACCCTGTGTTGTGCTATACTTGGGTCAGACACCAGAATTCTTAGTGAGATGGGACAGGGGTGGGGATGGATGATTAGATGGCGCAAATGTTTCATACTGTGGAGATTACAGGCGATCAAAGTAAAGTGTCTGAAGCCAGGGGTTTTTTACAGGGGCTGTGAGTAATCTGTAGCATTTAACTAACTCTATTGACAACCAGCAGCAACGGCCACAAATGTCAATGAAACTTATTTGTCTGTACAGAAGTCTCTGGCAAGCCTCCCCTGATCCTCTCTTGCTAACTGCAGGAGGGATTCAACAAACATTTGTAGAACAGGACTGAGGCAGTGAAGAGGTCATTCAATCATACATTATTATACATTATTATATATTTGTTTTAATTAGAACAAAATACTCAGAATATTTGGCCCAGGAACTGGCCCTTTAGCCTTTAAGGATGATGCATAGTTGCTCATTTGGTCACTACAGTGAACATGGCTGCTGTTGTTAATTTCAAATTTATCCTGCATACACTGTTCAGCTGCTGTAAACTAACTTCAAAACTTTCTTTTTGCTTTTTTCACACAGAAACTATGAACTTGTGACCTTGCGACTGGTGGACCACCTGTTCTCCCTCCTGAGCCACAGGCATCCCATCAACCCTGTGTGGATACAGTTTTGCTTTGTTTGTTTATTGCTCCTCTCCAGTGAGTAAACCTCTGTTGTATGAAAACTCAAGAACAAATATCTCACTGCTCAGCTGAAACTTCACCAGGTGCTATAAATATAACATATACAGAAACAAAGCGCTATGATGTGAATTGCAGAAACTATTTTATACATTTAAGCTTGTAGTTACAAACCTGCTGGTGGCCTGCCTTATATAACTTTTTGGTTTATGACTGAAACACTGTAAGGAATAAAACAGAGAATGCAGTCATCGCAGTTCAGCTGTTACTCCAAGCAAGTTGAAAACATTAACACAGGGTGGCTGCACTCACTGCGTAATCCAAAGGTTATTGATACTACAATGGAGAAGAAATCAAACCAATCTGGCAACGTTTCACGTAAGATAACCTCTTTGGAATTGTATCATTGTGCAGCCTCAGAGGACTGGACTCTAAGTGGACGATGAGTAGTCGAGATGAGGGCAGCTCATGTTGTCCCAGTTAAGAAATTGCACGTGGAAACAACTCAGGAGTGCATTTCCAGGAACAGTTACCTCTAATGAGGCTGCTTGTAGCCTTGCCTCTGATATGGCTGACAGGCTCTATCATCAGTCAATCAAAATGACTCCCCTTTTTCAACACACTAGACCAACGTGCAACCATGAAGTGATTTCTAGGTATTCTGGGCATCGATAGCACCAGTTGATTCCATGCTATTATATACCTAACCATTTTTAGAAACTATGCTATTAAGAACAAGACTCAGAGGGTAAAAGACATTAGTATTCCCCAGAAGAATCCTTTCAGGCGTGTGAGACTATAAACTCTGTGATGTTTTTAACCTAATAATAGAAAAAGGCTACTTGAAGGTTTTGCCTTCACAATACAAACTGATAATGACAATGAATGCTATCTCAAGAGCTGATGTTGTGGTTTCAGGCAGAGAAAAAGAGAAAACGCTCATCCAGAATCTAAAATGCAGGAGAATCAGACAGCTTCCCCACTACAAAAATAAAACACCTCCCACTCAAATCCTATTCACCCCAGATAGAGGATTTCTCCTCCAAGGCAATGTTCTGGCACAGCCTGTATAGTCAGCACTCCTCCAGCCAGTAAGGTGCAATAACACAGGTTCTCAATGAATAAACCTCATAATATACTTGGCCATATTCAAACCACATAATCAAAGCTAAGATAGCAGGAGTCTCATCTGGTCTTACAACTTGCTTTGTTATGTATTTAATTCTATTTCTAACATCCCATATGACAAGTTTTGTTGTACAAAACTGTCTGCACCTTTTGCCACACTGTTTACAGACAACACTGAAACTTGGTCTTAGCCTACAGAACCATTTGACATTCTGAAAACAAACCACATTTCATCTCGTTGTCACATGTTTAGTAGAAAGCATTCCCAAGATGATCAGTTACAGTCACTCGCCTGTGGATTAGAAAAAAAAAACTTAAGATAAATAATAACCTTTCAACATAAAAACTGTTAGAATAATGACGCTTACTAAACCAGCTGTCATCAAAAGTTGACTTGATTTTGCATTCAAATACTATTTTGTTGTAAGATCAAACCCAAGAGACAAATGAACAAACATAGAACCAAAGTACCCAGATCATCTTAGTGAAACCTGACATTTGGATGAATGTGCATGTTCCTGCAGGAGCTGCATAAATTGCATGTATAGAGCACAGACCTGTACAATATAAATGTAAATTTAGCTATATTATTCAGCAACAATAATATCTATTCTCTAGTCTATGTGTTCAATATTGTAACATTGTAGCTTCTGAACCTTTGCATTCTTGTCAGATTTCACATAAAACATGAACCACAATTGTGTCAGTGCTGTGTAACTCAGTGAAAGGTATAGTAAGTAAACATTACTTAGTCAAATAAATGCTGTAAAGAAATCACAAAAGTGCAGCATGTATGTAAATGTCGTGATTTAGAAAAAAAGAGTTTCTTTTTAGACTGGCAACCTGTCTTGGGCGTGCACTGCTATTCAACAACGATGTGCTGGAACTGGCTCCATCCTCCATGAGGAGCACAGGAAGGGTGTGTAAAAATGCTTCTACTAGTCCTCTACGTTAAATGACAAAATACAAGCCTTTTAACTGCTCTTGAAAGCAACACATATATATGCATTTTCTTGTATCTGCTGGACAACATTATTTGTCAGTGCATCCCAAAGCTGTTACAAATCACAGTTGAAAAACACCATGGCTGACTTTGGCTAAACATGGTTGGAGGTCAGTGACAGATCATGTGTGGGTCTAAATATGTACTTAAGATGACAAAAACATCTAGGTTAGGTTAAGGTTACATAATAATAATAAACTTTATTTATAGAGCGCTTCTCTTGCTGTACAACATGTAAAATGCAAAACAGAGTGATAAAAAGAATAATACATTTTCATAAAACAATTAAGACAAATACAACAACAGGCAGTGCTGATAAACTCAGTAAAAGCAATCTGATAAAAATGTGTTTTTACATAAGAGAGCTTTAAAAGACGACACTGACTCAGGCGTACTCAGGCAGATCATTCCAGAGCCTCAGGCCCTGTTGGCAAATGCCCGGTCCCCCTTAGGTAGTTAGTAGAAACAAATAAACGGTTAGAAATGGAAAATGAAGAACAGTCCCACAAGAAAGTCCAGTATTTTTTTGACACATCCACCCACCCCAGACTCCTCCCTGTATGGATCTTTGTCATTCTATAATAACGTCGCCCTGACTTTTTCTCTTGCTCCCGATGGAAATAATTTCTGTGGAAGCTAGAGGCTTTGTCAGCTGAACAGAAACGTGTTGTTTTGGAACATTTTTTTTAAATGACTGATGCTGTAGTTTCCCTTGGGCCTTCTGAGTGCAGATGTGACAATGATTAAACAATGCCTTTTGATGGACAGGTGTCAATCACAGGCATTATCGATTATTTTTCTCTGTTACTTGTGCGGGGTGAGCATACTGTATATGCACACTTTAAGCAATGTACACATTTAATTTGTCCCATTGTGACTGATGGAAAGTGCCACTCATGTAATCCGAACAGTTTTGGCTTCTGATATCTAGCTATGGTACGAATGGGTCATAAGTAGAAGAATCAAATGAAATGAAATGAAATCAAATCAAATCAAATCAAATTTTATTTGTATAGCACCAAATCACAACAAAAGTCATCTCAGGACACTTTACAAAGTAAGGTCTAGACCTTACTGTTATCAATATTATTACATAGGGAAAACCCAACAAATCCCCCTTGAGCAAGCACTTGGCGACAGTGGGGAGGAAAAACTCCCTTTAACGGAAGAAACCTCCAACAGACCCCGGCTCTTGGTGGGTGGCCTTCTGCCTCGACCGGTTGGGGTGAGTGGATAGAGGAGAGACAAAAGAAGAAAAGCAACAAGACACAACAATCAAACACTGATCAGGTCGATGTGGCCGGTGACTGCT